AAATAGCTGAGAGAAGAAGAGAAGCCAAAAGCAAAGGAGAAAAGGAAAGATAAACCCATTTGAATGCAGAGTTCCAAAGAATAGCAAGGAGAGATAAGAAAGCCTTCCTCAGTGATCAGTGCAAAGAAATAGAGGAAAACAACAGAATGGGAAAGACTAGAGATCTCTTCAAGAAAATCAGAGATACCAAGGGAACATTTCATGCAAACATGGGTTTGATAAAGGACAGAAATAGTAGGGACCTAACAGAAGCAGAAGATATTAAGAAGAGGTGGCAAGAACACACAGAAGAACTGTACAGAAAAGATCTTTACAGCCTAGATAATCACGATGGTGTAATCACTCACTTAGAGCCAGACATCCTGGAATGTGAAGTCAAGCACGCCTTAGGAAGCATCACTACGAACAAAGCTAGTGGAGGTGATGGAATTCCAGTTGACTATTTCAAATCTTAAAAGATGATGCTGTGAAAGTGCTACACTCAATATGCCAGCAAATTTGGAAAACTCAGCAGTGGCCACAGGACTGGAACAGGTCAGTTTTCATTCCAATCCCAAAGAGAGGCAATGCCAAAGAATGCTCAAGCTACCACACAATTGCATTCATCTCACATGCTAGAAAGTAATGCTCAGAATTCTCCAAGCCAGGCTTCAACAGTACGTGAACTGTGAACTTCCAGATGTTCTAGTTGGATTTAAAAAAGGCAGAGGAACCAGAGATCAAATTGCCAACATCTGCTGGGTCACTGAAAAAGCAAAGAGTTCCAGAAAAACATCTATTTCTGCTTTATTGACTATGCCGAAGCCTTTGACTGTGTGGATGACAATAAACTGTGGGAAATTCTTAAACTGATGGGAATACCAGACCACCTGACCTGCCTTTTGAGAAATCTGTATGCAGGTCAGGAAGCAACAGTTAGAACTGGACATGGAACAACAGACTGGTTCCAAATAGGGAAAGGAGTATGTCAAGGCTGTATATTGTCACCCTGCTTATTTACCTTATATGCAGAGTGCATCATGAGAAACACTGGGCTGGATGAAGCACAAGCTGGAATCAAGACTGCCAGGAGAAATATCAATAACCTCAGATATGCACATGACACCACCCTTATGGCAGAAAGTGAAGAGAAACTAAAGAGCCTCTTGATGAAAGTGAAAGAGGAGTGTGAAAAAGTTGGCTTAAAGCTCAACATTCAGAAAACAAAGATCATGGCACACGGTCCCATCACTTCCTGGCAAATAGATGGAGAAACAGTGGAAACAGTCTCAGACTTTATTTTTTTAGGCTCCAAAATCACTGCAATTGATTTTGACTGCAGCCATGAAATAAAAGTACAGTTACTCCTTGGAAGGAAAGTTATGACCAACCTAGACAGCATATTAAAAAGCAGAGACATTACTTTGTCAACAAAGCTCCATCTTGTCAAAGCTATGGTTTTTCCAGTGGTCATGTATGGATGTGAGAGTTAGACAGTAAAGAAAGCTGAGCGCTGAAGAATTGATGCTTTTGAACTGTGGTGTTGTAGAAAACTCTTGAAAGTCCCTTGGACTGCAAGGAGATCCATGCAGTCCATCCTAAAGGAAATCAGTCCTGAATATTCATTGGAAGGACTGATGCTGAAGCTGAAACTCCAATACTTTTGCCGCCTGATGACTCATTTGAAAAGACCTTGATGTCGGGAAAGTTTGAAGGCAGGAGGAGAAGGGGATGACAGAGGATGCTTGGATGGCATCAAGGACTCAATGGACATTAATTTGAGTAAACTCTGGAAGTTGGTGAGGGACAGGGAGGCCTGTCATGCTACAGTGCATGGGGTCGGAAAGAATTGGACATGACTGAGTGATTGAACTGAACTGAAAGAAATCATATAATCAGCTTGAAAAACCATTGAAAAGCTAGTAGATAAATGGTTAAAATGCAAAAACTTATCACAAACTTCCATGAACAAACACATAGAAATAGTTAATTGCAACACTTATCTAACAAAATTTGATAAATATTCCAAATATAACACAATTCTGGTTAATATCTTATAAACCATTGTCAAACATTTCTTGGCAGAGAAAAAGATGTTTCAGTTCTGTTTGATGACAAGGTATGGATCAGTATCCTTTGACTGAATAATATAAAATAAATATAAATAAATAAGAAATCCTAAGACAGTCAACCAAAACTGTAGAAAAAGTTTTATGTAGAATGCACATAATAACAAATACATCAAAAAGAGTATAAAATGGCGAAAAGCATTGGAGAATGGGAAACGAACTGCAACACAAGATGGAATATTATGCTGTTAGTACTCATGATGTGTTTGAGGCATCTTAAATAACAGAACATTCCAGAAACCTAAAGTCCAAGTGTTGTGCAGGGGGATGAGCCTCTGCTTTTTCTTTTTCTTCTCTGTTTTCTGTGGTTTCTACCGTGATCAGGTGTGAATTCTAGAGCAAGAAGAACATGGTTAGACTTTCGGTAAAAGCGAGAGAGTGCCCTATGTGTGTTCTGGGGTGGAGGGCTGTTCTTGAGGGGCCAGGCAGGTCTGGAGGTGGGAGGCCCATGCTGGCTGTGTATCCTGACTTTCAGAGGTCCAGTCAGCGGGTGGACGATAACCAGTGTGGATGATTGATGAGTTTATTGGAACTAAAGGCTTGAGATTATTCCTGCAAATTACAGCCATTAAAGGGTCCTTTGAGTCCTGCCCTAAAAACAGCAGTCCGGGTTCATGCTCATCCCCTTGGGCGCGACGGGCTTTTCTGTTGTGCCTGTGGCTGTACTGGATGCCCGTGTCTGCGCCGACAGAGACCGACACGGCGGCCATTCTCTCTAATAAACCTTTGATCTGCGGAATGGGGACTACAAAGCCCCCGAGCCAAGGTACAGCACCAGGAGAGCTTCACAAAATGTGAGCCAGAAAGGCTGGGTCCCAGGGGCTAGCCTGGCTGAGCCCGTGACAGCTAATTGGGCCTGTTAGGGTCAGCAATTAGCTTCCAGCTATTCAGAGCTTCTGACAGGGCCACCTTTATCTGTAGGCCAGCTCTCAGTGGAACAATAGCGTCGCAGCCTGTCAGAAGACACTCGGAGCCGCACACAAAGCCAGATGCCCCTCCAAGTGCAGAGCTCTCCTCAGCTGTGGAATTATTGTATCTTTCCCGCAGTCCCACCCAGGGATTGCCCGGCCGTCCTGAGCATAACGTCAGGCAATTCCTTCATGGGAGAAAGCACCGTTTTCTTTAGTCACAGGAGTGTTGTTTTTTAAAACTAAATAGTATATACTGGAAGAACCCAAGGGTTCTGTTTTTTTGTCAGAGGTGAAAACATATGCAAAGTATTTGGCTTAAAAAATGACCTATCAGTGTCGTTTCAAAGGTTAAGAGGAGTGAAATTTGGAAAATGGTGCTGTAGAAAAGTTGTCTCTGAATCGTCTGTCTAAAAGGTTCACTCCTGCATTTGCTGGGGGAGATGGGAATTTAGGCATCTTTGCTTTATCCCCCTAGAAGCCCTTTTAGTTCCCACTGCTGGCACTTATTCAGAAAGAAATCTCTTGTCCTTTTCAAAGTAATCCTTCTACTCCCATAAGAAAATAGACTGTCTACAATGTTACCTGCCTATCAGCCATGATCAGTGATGGGTTTATGTTACGCATTTTGGTGGGGGTGGGAGGAGGCTGGTTTGCTAGAGCAGAGGGTGTCTGTGGATGAATGCACAGCCACTATTTGGGAGCACACAGCCCCTGAAGCCATGGACGGTGGGAGAAGGTGGCCCCGCACGGTTTCCTGACTGCCTCTGCCCGACCTCTCATGTCAGCCTCCCTCCATCCTCCTGAGAAGGCGCTGAACCACAGGGTGTGGGGAGCGGCCCCTCCGCAGGTCTGCGGGTGACAGCTCTGTAATTTCAGCATTATTTTAACACAATGTAAGTGCCTGGGATATTTATGCGGCTTCATTTTACATCTGCTTTTTGGGGTAATTGATTTGTACTTGTCTCTGCTAGATCTCAGTAATTCACCTCCCCTTCTTCTTTTCCATTTTATCCCCCTGTTGCTCCCTCCACGTTCCGCGTCCTCACCAGAAAATCTAAAAAGCATTTCACAACGCTTCCTGGTTTCCACAGCCTGTTTTCTTCCCAGGAAGCCCTGTCTTGCAGCAGAGGGTCAGACTGACGGGGCCTGCCTGGCTCTGCTGGGTAAGTTGTTCAATTCAGTGACTCTTACAGGAACCAGGGTGGCTTTGGTTACCTTTATCAGGGCTCCTCTAGTGGGATAAGCAGGTCTGAGGCCCTGACGGAGTTTGGTACCCAGAACTGATGGATCATGTATCTGTGGATGCTCGTTACCTCCTGTGATGGCTCAGAGCTGTGTCTGCCGGCTGCCTTGTGCCGTTGGGGAAGGAGGGGGTGGTCAGATTTCAGGGGAGAATTTACTTGCAAAAAATAAATCCTTCTGTGGTGTCTGGGCTGCCAGTGTTTCACCAAGAAACTCTCATTTCACATCTTGCTAAAAGTTTACGGTCCTTTTTTTGTTTTTCCTTTTTGGCCAGCACATTGCTGCATCACTGAGCTGACAGCTGAGTTTTGTCCCGCACACACTCAGGGTGTCAACTGTGGGCCAGGCTGGCAGGCAGCGAGAGGGGAGACCGAAGAGCCAGGGGGAAAGTGAAGCGTTTTATGACTTGCGACCACCCCGCTGGCAACTCTGCGTCAGGCGGCAGGAACCCCCGGCCCGCAGGTCTCGACAGAGGCAGTTTTGCCCTCGTTACACGTCCGGAGGCCTCGTGCCTGGTTCGGAGGTGCAGCACGGCTGGCAGGCCATCAGGGAGCCTCTCCAGAGCAGGTGTTTCCTGAGAGCCGAGGCTCCAGGAGCAGCAGGAATGGGGGCAGCTGAGCATCCGGGGCCCACCAGGAGTAATTTCTCCACGCCGGATTAGAGCGTGGTGTGAAGCCAGGGGCAAGCTGCAGATGCCTGTCTCCCACCACCTGACCCCCTTGTTTACCTTACCTGTCAGACGCCACGGAACTTCTCCGCAGACACCGTGCGCTGGCTCAGAAGATACAGCGCCAGCGCGGCCAGACGCCACCCGTGTTGCTTCTAAAGGGCGTGCAGGGTGAGAGAACGGAACGGGAGGAAAAGATAGTGGACAGAAGGGACCCCAGGAAGCGGAGACCCGGCGCTCAGCAGCGTTAGTCTGAAAAAACACAATCACGGGATCGGCAAGTCTGTTTGTTTTGTTCTCACAGTTTCGGTCTCTATGGGAGAATTAATTACTGTTCCTCTTCCCCTTTATTTCCTATTTTTAATAAAACCTTGCAATAAATATGGGATGCTTAGAGGAAGGAAGATATTGTCTGGCCTGTATTTATGGAATGAAAATGTTTGAAGACACACAGCATTTTTCTTAATAAAATTGATTAAAATACCAGAAGAGGAAGCCTCCCCACTTGAAGGAGACGATCTATAAACATCCACAGAGGGAGGCTGGAGAGTCCGGGGGCACGGAGCAGCGGGAGTCTCCGGGCCATCCAGTAGAAAGCGGTGATGAGGGCGGGAGAAGCCTATCCTCCTGGGACCCAGGACGGCAGGCAGGGTGGACCGGGTGGGCCAACACCCTGCTGTCGTGGGCACTTCACTCCCCAGCAGTTCACTGTGGCGTCTCGTCACTGCTGCCTGGACCCGGGGAGCCCACGGTCCCGTGAAGTCACCGTCTCCAGTGCGTCCCAGGTTGGGGCCCAAGAAGACCACCGTCTCCTCCAGCACAACTAGCCACGGGAGGAAACACAGCCCCTGCGACCCACAGCCGTCTCCAGAGGTGGCGGCAGTACTCAGGGCATGGTCAGGACATTGCTGTTTGACGCTCATCACTTTGGGGCTTTTCTTTATCAATTACATTCATTCTTACCCTGTCTCCTAAGTGAAATTCTCTTTTCCCCTGTAATATTTTCTTTCAATTTCCCCTGCTGGCTCAGATAGTCAAGAATCCGCCTGCTATGCAGGAGACCCAGGTTTGATCCCTGGGTCAGGAAGATCACCTGGAGAAGTGAATGATCACCGATTCCAGTGCTCTTGCCTGGAGAATTCCATGGACGGAGGAGCCTGCTGGGCTGCAGCCCATGGGGTCGCAAAGGGTCAGACACTATTGAGTGGCTGACACTTCCATTGTTTCCTGTTATATTTAAGATGGAAACTTTGTTTAATATGTGTGCCTATGTGTACACATAGTTATTTTGAAAAAAATTATCTTTTGAGAATTTTCAACCCTGGATTTTTAAAAAAACTACCAATTTAAGAAAATAATTTGATAATCATTATTTTTTCAATTTTTATATTTTTAATTTCCCGAGTCCTTCAATTTGTCAGATATTTTACATATAGAAAGGTAATTTGTGAAAAGCTTTGCAACATTTTTGTGTTTGTTATTTATATTAATTTTTTAAAGTAAGAACTTTGTAGAACAGTTTTAAGTTCACAACAGAATTGAGGGGAAGTTATGGAGATATCCCTTGTAGCTCTTGCATCCCACTATGAACATCCCCTAAGAGAGTTGTGTTTGTTAGGAACTGATGAACCTACATTGACACACATCATTACCATCAAAGGCCATGGATTACAGTAGGGTTCACTCTTGGTGTTGTATGTTCTGTGGGTTTGGACAATGCATAGTGACATGTATTCACCAGTATAGTATCATACAGAGTGTTTTCACTGCCCTGGAATTCTTCTATGCCTCTTTTATTCATTCCTCCTTTCCTCTACTCCTGGAAATGACTGATCTACTGTTTCTATAGTTTCCAAAATGTCCTATATTTGGAATCATACAATATGTAGGCTTTTCAGAACGACTTTTTTCACACAGTAATATGCATTCAAGATTCCTTCATGTTTTTTTCATGGTTTGATAGATCCTTTCTTTTAGGGACTAAGTAATATTCCATTGTCTGGATGGACCCCAGCTTGTTTATCCATTCATCTACTGAGAAACATCTCTGTGGCTTCTACATTTTCACAAGTATAAATAAAGCTGTAATAAACATCATCTACAGGGTTTCATGCGGTCATAAGTTTTCAGTCCCTTTGGGTAATTACTAAGAGGTGTGGCTGATGCATTTTATGCTAAGGGTGTGTGCAGTTTTGTAAGAAGCCACCAAAGAAGGCAAGCTGTCTTCCAAAGTGGCTGCAGCACTGTGCATCCCTGCCAGTGATGGTAAATGTCCCTGTTGTTCCACATCACTGACCGCATTTAGTGTCAGAGTTCCAGGTTTTAGCCATTCTAGCAGGTGAGTGGTGACATCTCATTGTTGATTTACTTTGTATTTACCTGAAGATATACTAACTGTGACGATGTGGAAACCAAAATGGCAAGGATAGTACTTTTTATAATTGCTCCAAAAAACCACTAACTGTCCAAATGCTTAGTTGTCAATCTAACAAAACACATATAGAACGTAATGCTGAAAATGAGCAAATGCCGAGCGACGAATCACAGAGGAGCTATACCAGTGGAAAGTTCATGGACTGGAAAACGCAGCATAGTAAAGATACATTCAGCCTAAACATGTCTGTCCTAAATGTGGGCATGCATTAGATCTTACTCACATCTTGTTTTCCTTAAATACTAAACCAGGAATGTCCTTAAGATCAGTAAGTTCCATGCTTTTCTTTAATGGTAGAGAAATCAAACACAAAATATATGAGTGACAGCTTCGTGCTTCTCCAGGGGTCTGATCACCAGGACTGGATGGCACATTGCTTGATTCTCCACCAGGTACCATGAAATCCTCACCAGTTTCTGAACCCCAGTCTGGAAGTTATACACTCCTTGGTTTGTCCTCTTGTTTGACTCTCACATACACTTAAGTGTTTAAGGGTTTGTTGACTGGATGCATGTCTCATGGTCCTTATTTCTGTCTATGCGTGTGCTGGGGGAGGCACAGGGCTGGGGAAATTGATGGCCCTGGGCACAGGGCTGGTGCCCATGTCAACCTCTCTGCCCTCTGCATGTGCCAAGGTGCAGTGCCTGTCATAGAAGATGTGCAGCCCCCTACGTAGCCCTGGTTAAAGCAACTAATTTTTTTCTTCCTGTTTACTAAGTGTTTATGCTGTACTTTTAATCTGATACCATAAGAGTAGCTTTTTTCCTGCTTTTAAATAGAAAGGATGCATTTTAGAGAGAGCATCACGTCTTTTATTGTCCTGTCACCCCCAGAATCCATTCGCTGTCACTTTCACTCTCTTACTAGAATGTGCTGCCCATCAGATGGACTAAAAACATAAAATATGAGACTGTATTCCCCCACACCCCAAATTAAGCCTTCCAGAAGGATGCTAACGTGCCCCAATTCCCTCTATCTGTTGAATTTTTCAGCAACTCAATCCCCAAAACCGTTTTAATATTTGGTCACACATGAGCCGAACCAGGGTAATTGACACTAATGATTTTCAGCTCGTATTTATTTGTCTATTGTTTCATTCTGACTCTATTTTTTCCCTTTCCATCTCTGTTTTTCTCCCATTGTACGTTAAGTTCCACTGAGATCTATCTTGGCTTCACAGAATCCCAGGACTCAGAAGCTAATCATATCCCAGAGCGCTGATGCTGGATGTCCCGCAGTGTTTGGAATTTACATGAGTTGTTTATTTGCACACTCTTGGTTAGGGATCATTTCACTGTGGATAGCATAGTCTGGCAAACACATGGGCACACGGACACACACACATTCACAAACACACATCTCCAGTTAAATATTCATGATACCTAACATTATCACAGGGCTTTTCATACAAAGAAATGACCAGCATTGTCATTCAAGGCCTGTATTACCTTATGCAGAGAATGCTAAACAGCATATTATTACATCCAGTGTATGACAGACGAGTTCCAGCGGAAGAGGCTAATAACAATGAATTAATGTGGAGTGGGTTTGAGGGAGAAAAAAAAAAACAGGACAAAGGAGCTTTGAGAGAGGAGATAAATGTTATTGCACATTTTGATTTGGCCTTCAAATTCAGCCTCAATGCTGACTGAAATTTCTTTTTCCCCCATGGTTGTCCATTTCTGAGAGGATGGAGTGTTGACCTGTGGGAAGATACTCAATGGCAATTATTTCAGTGAAATCAAATAAAAACCAAGCTTGAAAAGGAAATAAATCCATCTCTCTACGTCTCTGTATTGTACTTCAAATATCCAGCGTGTTCATATCCTACTATTTAGTGATCTTTACCAAGAAAAACATGCGACCTTTGCATTCAACCTTTTCCTTCATTTCAACCCAGATAGCGATGTCCTCTTACGGGAATTAAATACAGTATGTCATGTGCCAGCACAAGGAATGGAAAACTTCGAATTCACTTTGTGGCCAGCAGATGACAACTGGCCTCAGGAGAACAGATGATTGGGATGGAAGGAGTCACATTAGAATTCCTCCGAGACCACAGGCTTCCGTCTGCATCTCCGCCCCCCAGTGTTGGTCTCCACCACGGCCGGGCCGAACTGGTAGTCATAAGGACTTTAAGTAAAAGTGCCATTGGCTCATCAGACTGCATGTTCACCATCGCATTCATAGAATTTAAACCAAAGGTCACACTAGGCTTGAAACAGGGTGGGGATAACTGTTGACATGAGCTGTTTATGGAGGATGAGTGATATAAGGGATGTGTTTATGTAGAAATGCAGTCTACAAATGTACCAGCTACTGTGGACATAGTAGATCATTTATCTAATTAATAAACACAACATGCTCACCAGGTAACAGGTACTTCACTGAACTCCAGAGAGTCAAAGGTGAATAAATCTCACCTCTGAGGAGCTCACAATTTAATTTAACAGTACAGTGCTTTGGGAAAAACATGTCTGCAGTAGATGATACTGAAAAGGTGAAGAGAAAGATGAACAGTACAAAAACCTCAGAAGAATGAATTCATGCCTCAGAAAAATGAATAAAAAGTGAGTTCTGAAGAGAAAAACAGAAATGAGAGATCAGTTCAGTTCAGTCACTCAGTTGTGTCCGACTTTTTGCAACCCCATGGACTGCTGCATGCCAGGCCTTCCTGTCTATCACTAACTCCCAGAGTTTACCCAGACTCATGTCGATCGAGTCGGTGACACCAAGCAAGCATCTCATCCTCCGTCATCCCCTTCTCCTCCCGCCTTCAATCTTTGCCAGCATCAGGGTCTTTTCAAATGAGTAAGT